CAAGAATGACCAAATATGAAGTATTGTAGTAAAAAATCATTAAACCACTGGCATGAGTGCGACTAGAACGAGGTTGTTAGGTGTCGGTGGTTTGAAGGAGACACAAGTGCGAATGGAACGCGACGGAGGCATGTGTATTACGACAATAGTACCTGCTGACGAGTGATAACTGTAGTTTGGTCATCTGGGACGATGGGTGCGACACTGTCGCTGACGAATAGAGCTTGTCAATACGGGCTGGCGGGGCAGGCCAAAAAGCGCGCTCTTTGGTGGGCCTAGGTTTTGTTGGCCCAGGCCACCCCGCCCCTGGCCTACGGGCTAGGCAGGCCCCGCCACACCACCCCCTACTTTTTCTTTTTTGTTCTTAAACAAAAATATAAACATACAAATACATATACATATACATATATATATATATATATATATATATATATATATATATATATATATATATATATATATATATATATATATATATATATATATATATATATGTATGTATGTATATATATGTATGTATATATATATATATATGGCAGATTGGCATATATAGAAGAGTATAAAAAATATATATATATACATACAAGATACTTCACATATTTCCAGTGAAGAGTAAATGGACAATCAAATACAAAAGACAAAGAAAAAGGTTCAGTTCATCTCAATTAAGTTTCCAGGCAATCCTTTTGCCGAATTCATTTCATCTCAATCAATTCCAACATATTAAGGATGAAAATTGTCACCAACTGATTCAAATCAATTTATCCTAAACTTACTTGACGAATCAAGAGTCAAAATATGCATCTGATTTTGACTATTGTAAAACCTAGGTTCAAATCCATTAACACTTGTACCTTAATTTCCTCCACTTCACTTCGGCCTTCAGTTAACACTATCCTCTCAGCCAAAATAAATGGCAGATTGGAAGAGGGGCAGCTGCGCAGCGGTCTGTGGAGCTCCGGTCGCTGGTTCGGTGTTCCTACCTGTTTCCTTTTTTGAGCCATCCTTGTGTTCATGGGTCGATGTTATTTTGTATCCTTACCTTGATGTGATAAGCGGAGGGGGAGTTTCTTTAAACAAGTGAGGGAGGGTTATGTGTAGGTTTCACAGTCTCACCGCGCGTCCTAAGGTTCCTGAGTCCCATGTTCCTGAATACTTAGAGTCCAAGCCTATTGTCTTTAAAATCTAGTCTTAAGAGTCTTATCCTAGGGTCAAACTTAGGCTCTGATACCAACTGTAACACCAAGAAATTTTTCAACTTTTAAGACTTATATAATAAAGGTAAATTCTCATTAAATCCCAAAACATAATATAAAGAGTACGGGGTGCTATGCCACACCTGAGCTAGAGAACTCAGGTGCACAGGCTAACTAACTAATAATGTAAATGCATAACCGTGGCACGCAGGCCGAAAGGGAAACTATCTACTTCTACGCTCCAAGACTCTAGCGCGCTCCAGCGTCTATTCCTCTGTGCCTGAAAGCCAAATATATCTGTTCAGCGAGAGATGCTGGTAACCCACTCCAACGCGTTGAAATACAATACGTATAGGCATATATATAGATATAAGAAAAACCATTTCGAAGCATGAAGATATATCCTAAGTGACTCTAGCTTTTAAAACAGGGAATAGACTCGACAGATAGGGATAAGCACAGTCAACAGTCATATAATTCACAAGCATAGGGAACAGACTCGACAGATAGAGATAAGCACAGGCAATAGTCATAACCAAGCATATACGGTTTACTAGCATGTATCCTATGGTCACGCTTTTATAACATTCGTAACATCAAACCAAGCCTAGTGGATCGGCTGACCAAAACAGCACGATTCATTGCCATGAAGGAAACTTGGACAATGACGCAACTAGCCCAAGCCTACATAAACCGAGTGGTGAAATACCACGGAGTCCCCCGAAACATTGTGTCCGATAGAGATTCCAGATTCCTCTCACAATTCTGGAAATCACTACAATCAGCATTGGGAACGCACCTAAAACTAAGCACAGCCTTTCACCCCACCACAGACGGCCAAACCGAGAGAACCATCCAAACCCTCGAGGACATGCTAAGAGCCTGCACACTAGACTTCCGAGGGACGTGGGAAGAACACCTAGACCTCATCGAGTTCTCATACAACAACAGCTACCACGCGAGCATTCGCATGGCGCCCTACGAAGCACTGTATGGTCAGAAATGTAGAACCCCATTATGTTGGGAAAATATGGTCAACCCGGTAACACTGGGCCCCCAATACCTACAAGACACCATAGCTAAAGTCAAACACATCCAGGAAAGGATGAAGGCCGCCCAAGACCGCCAGAAGTCTTACGTCGACCTAAAGAGGAAACAAGCCGAAATTCAACCTCGGGGAAGAGGTCTGGCTAAGGATCTCGCCCACACGATGAGTAATGAGGTTCGGAAGAAAAGGAAAACTCAGCCCCCGGTTCATCGGTCCTTACGAAATCGTGGAGAAAATCGGGGACTTGGCCTACCGCCTCGCCTTACCCATCGAACTAGAACGAGTACACAACGTGTTCCACGTATCTCAGCTAAAGAAATACATACACGATCCAAGCCACGTACTCCAACACGAGACCATAGACCTCGACGAGTCACTAGTATACGAAGAGAAACCCGTAAGAATCCTGGACACCAAGACAAGAAATACCCGGAACCGAGTCACAGAAATGGTGAAAGTCCTCTGGACCAACCATGGGACCGAGGAAGCAACATGGGAACTTAAGGACACGATGAAGGAGCGGTATCCCGAACTGTTCACTCCAGGTAACTAAGAGAAAACCTTTTTCACCAAGGGCCAAGCTTCAGGGACGAAGCTTCCTGTTAAGGGGGGGAGAGTGTAACACCCCGTGTTACGAATCCTAAAACCAATTAATTAATTAAATAATAGCCCAAGAGAAAGAATAAATTATAATGATTAATTAGGGAAAAAGGCCCACCGTAGCCCATGGGCCCTCCTATATAAACCCAACCCCTAATCCCAATAGGATTAGACCCTAAATAAGATCCCTAGATCTATAAATAGGGAACTTAGGAAGCACAAAGAACTCCTCCCACAAGTCTAACGCCCCACCACCCCAAAAGAGCTCCAAGAATCCCCTTAGGAGAAATCAAGAAAGCAAGGAAGCTTAAAGAAAGATCCTTCATAGCCAAGGAATTAATTAAGGCTAAGAGGTAACCCATGTCTCAACAAAACCTATTTTCATAGTTAAGATTCCCCCTTAGGGTTTCCCCATATTATTGTGTATTAATGATTGGTGATGATTATTATTAATGATTGATATAATGATTCCATGAGGAATCTTGATAATCTTGATGTTGGGAGATTCTTGATCATTATGGTGTTCTTGATGCTTACATGGGGATCTTGATGATTATTTGGAATTCTTGATGATTATGTGATGTTCTTGATAATTGTGTGTTGTTCTTGATGCTTATGCGTTATTCTTACCGAATCTTGTAATTAGAAGACGAACCGTATTCTTGTTGATATAAAAGTGATTAGAACCCTAGGTTGTATCGTATGATATTATTCTTGGTTTATCGGGTGGGGAAATCGCATGTTTGGGTGTTGATTATGTTTAGAAAAGCATGATAGGTTATGTGCCGTTGGTTTCTCGTATTTGATCCGTTAATTGTCTACGTGTTGTCGTTAATTGCGTTGTAAAGTGTCTAAGCATGGTTTCGGGTTCCATAACGGTTCCCGGGGCGAAATTATGTGATAAGAGTCAGTGGGGGGTAGGTGGGGGGTGGGGACCCGCCACCTACCCACGGCCGGAAATAGTATATCCGGCAGCGGGCAGCCGGCGGGCGGGCAGCTGCCCGCCGGTGACCCGCTGCCCGGAACAGTGAGTCCGGCGGGCAGCCGGCGGGTGGCCCCCCCACCCACCGGCTACCCGCTGGAAATTCCCCCAACTTGGGATCCCGGCTTCCCCGTTTGATGTTCCCCGTTCCCCGTGGTGTCCCAACGGACTCCGTTTATCGTGCCTATGTCTAGTTTGATGTTTCGGGTACCGTTCGTAGGTTTATGAGTCTGTTATATTGCATGCTAGTTGAATTGGTATCCCGTTGACCTAGGTGGAAAAAGTATGAACCCCTTAGGACTATTCTTAGTAAGTGATGGATCACGCATAGGTTTTGTTATACGCTTTCTCCCCCTTCCTAATGTGTAATGTGGGTTGCATGTGCTTGCTATGTGTTATGTGTGTGTTACCCCAATTCGGTTGCGATCGGATTGGTTATCCTGAGCTGCGGTTCTGAAGCTGGCTGCGGTCAGATTGATACTCTTGGGCTGCGGTCCACCGTTTGGTTGCGATCAAACGTTTCTATACGAGCTGCGGTTCGTCCTTTTTCCTGGCTGCGGTCAGATGACATTCTCTTGGGCTGCGGTCCACTGTTTGGTTGCGATCAAACACTATGATGAGCTGCGGTTCATCGGTCGGTTGCGATCGACCCCTCCGTGTTGCGATACGGGGCAGGGTGCTGCGGGGCCGTGTCAGAGCTATATGCGCTGACCCTCATGTATGGGCATGCGATTGGTCCCGTGGCGCCAACAAAGTGTGCTATGTGTTATGATATGGATGAGTGGTGATCATGAGTGTCTTGGGGGGATGTGACTATGGGATTTATATTGGGGATTGTTCATGTTGGGTTATGATCACTGTTATGCCTTGCCTTATCTACCTTATCTGTTGTGAATTGCATATGCTCGTTATAACTGTTGCTTGTGTCTGGCCTTATCTGTCGAGTCATTCCCGGTTTTAAAGCTAGAGTTCGTAGGATATATCTTCATGCTCAAAATGGTTTTCGTATATCTATATATATCTCTATATGTATTGTATTTCAACGCGTTGGAGTGGGTTACCAGCATCTCTCGCTGAACAGATATATTTGGCTTTCAGGCACCGAAGATTAAGTCACTGGAGCGCGCTAGAACTTGGAATATAGAAGTAGATAGTTTTCCTTTTTGCCCTGCGTGCCACGGTTACGTAATTACGCTTGGGTTCTCTAGCCCAGGTGTGGCATAGCACCCCATACGCTTGTATTTATTTCTTGGGATTTAATGAGATTCTACCTTTATTATAAGTTTAAAAAGTCTTAAAAATCTGGGGTGTTACACTAGGGGTTGGGTTTTTAGAGATGAGGGCCCACGGACTATGGTGGGCCTTTTCCTAATTAATTATTGTAATTTAATTCTTTCTTTGGATAATTGGTTAAGTGATTAATTGGTTTTAGGGGTCGTAACATGGGGTGTTACACTTTTGGTACCTAATCTTACTGTTATATTGTAGGTTGGGTTTTGGTAAATGTAATGGTGATAGTCATCTGTATTGTTGAAGAAGGTGTCCATGGAAATCTCCTGCCATTATTATTTGCTACACCAAAACAATCAGTTTTCTCTGTTTCATTAAAGAATAAAATGATAGAGGGAACTAGTGGTTTTGAGCTACATAAAATGGAGATTAATAGAGGAAACATCAAGGAAGCCAATACCATTGAAGAACTCAATCCAATACCCATCCAAATTTCAATTAAACTTACATTCAACAGCATGTGTTTGTCTAGAACTAGAAGGATTATTGCTTGATGTTCAATCTCAATTCACCAGACTTTTGCAACCGTGCCACTTTCCAGACTTCCAAACAAATTTCCTCCCTTAGTTCACTTCAATCTACAAAAAGAAAGAACCCATTGCTTGTCGTTGGAAGACTATAATCTACAGCATTCTTCTTGTACCAAACAATCCAAATCTATATCTGTTGCAATTTGCAAAAGGCCAGTGCTATTAATTAGTAGAAGATGATTTTACTTTGCAGTCTAGTGTTTGCACAACTCACAACACTGAGGAGAAAGAATCTTAGTGGGTTTGCGGTGTATAGATCTCGAAAAAATACGCGGATTGAAAAAAAAAATTGCCAAAATCGGACAACCGAGGAAAAAGTTATGCCTTCCGAAACTTTTCCTACATTTTCTAAAAAAAAAAAAAAATCGCCGAACCGAAGAACTGGCCGGTTAGGCGGTCACCTAGCCGACCGGCTAGGCGGCCGGCCGCGGAGGAGGCCACCGAGGCCATTCCTCGCGGCGGCCTCCTAACGCCTAGTCGGCGCCTAGGCGCGATTCTTGCAACACTGGCAAAAAATGATTGGGGTTGCAAGAATGACCAAATATGAAGATTTGTATTAAAAAGTCATTAAACCACTGGCATGAATGCGACTGGAACGAGGTTGTTGTGTGTCGGTGGTTTGAAGGAGACACAAGTGCGACTGGAACGCGACGGAGACATGAGTATTATGACACTAGTACCTGCTGACGAGTGATAACTGTAGTTTGGTCATCTGGGACGATGGGTGCGACATTGTTGCTGATGAATAGAGCTTGCCAATACGGGCTGGCGGGGCGGGCCAAAAAGCGCGCTCTTTGGTGGGCCTAGGTTTTGTTGGCCCAGGCCACCCCGCCCCTGGCCTAAGGGCTAGGCAGGCCCCGCCACACCAACCCCTACTTTTTCTTTTTTGTTCTTAAACAGAAATATAAACATACAAATATATATATATATATATATATATATATATATATATATATATATATATATATATATATATATATATATATATATATATATTACGACACTAGTACCTGGAACGCGACGGAGGCATGAGTATTACGACACTAGTACCTGCTGACGAGTGATAACTGTAGTTTGGTCATCTGGGACGATGGGTGCGACATTGTCGCTGATGAATAGAGCTTGTCAATACGGGCTGGCGGGGCGGGCCAAAAAGCGCGCTCTTTGGTGGGCCTAGGTTTTGTTGGCCCAGGCCACCCCGCCCCTGGCCTACGGGCTAGGCAGGCCCCGCCACACCACCCCCTACTTTTTCTTTTTTGTTCTTAAACAGAAATATAAACATACAAATATATATATATATATATATATATATATATATATATATATATATATATATATATATATATATATATATATATATATGTATGTATGTATATATATGTATGTATATATATATATATATGGCAGATTGGCATATATAGAAGAGTATAAAAAATATATATATATACATACAAGATACTTCACATATTTCCAGTGAAGAGTAAATGGACAATCAAATACAAAAGACAAAGAAAAAGGTTCAGTTCATCTCAATTAAGTTTCCAGGCAATCCTTTTGCCGAATTCATTTCATCTCAATCAATTCCAACATATTAAGGATGAAAATTGTCACCAACTGATTCAAATCAATTTATCCTAAACTTACTTGACGAATCAAGAGTCAAAATATGCATCTGATTTTGACTATTGTAAAACCTAGGTTCAAATCCATTAACACTTGTACCTTAACTTCCTCCACTTCACTTCGGCCTTCAGTTAACACTATCCTCTCAGCCAAAATAAATGGCAGATTGGAAGAGGGGCAGATGCGCGACGGTCTATGGAGCTCCGGTCGCTGGTTCACGGTGGACGGAAG